GCGCTTTCGCTATACAATTATAATTCGAATTTCGGAATTTTCACAAAGCTATTAAACCCATGTGTTATTGGGCGCCATAATATAACGGGATTTTGACCCAGCGCGGGTCACTCGTTATATAAATTACGAGGGGATTGAAACAGCTCGGTGTGGGCCTCGTAATAGGCTGCGCAAAGCCTAGCCCAGCGGCAACAGGAACGTCGTGGTGCAGCGTCTGTTACCTTGGCCCGCGGAGAGCGTCGTGTAGTCCTATGGGCGCTTTGGAATAATCACGAAATTTAGGTGCGAAAGCCGGACGGAACGGGATTGATTACGATAGGTAAAAGGAAGCGCAAAAGAAGAAAACAGATATACAAATAGCATCGAGTTTACTACGGAGAGTAATACAGAATTAATACGCAGCGTAAGCGGGAGAGAGAGCGGCGAAAGCTAGCGAGAGAAACATGTATTCGAGAAGGTACTTACAATAATATCTCGGCGTTAGCCCTGCAGGCGGTGTCCTCAGCCTCGCACGTGGCTCGCGATGACGCGCAGTGTGCAGCTCGGGTGTAATCAAGAAGCGGGCGGCCTTAAAGGCTCGCACGCGCGGTCGCAGGAACTAACCCGCCAAAGGCACTAGGGGCAATCTCAGCACCGGTATCTTACACCGAGTAGACACTCGCGTACTCGCAGGCAATCGAAATGTCAGTCACAAAAGTTAGCCGCGAAAAGTCGGATAACAAAGAGATCGCAAGCACAAGTATAGCCGCTCGTCACACGTCCACGCGCTTCGAAGTTGCCGGTACAAGAGCGAATCCTTATCGCGCGCCTCTGCTTCACTCTCCTACTCGCGCGCGTCGCGCCGGCCTCCCGAATTCTCTCTCTCTAGCTCGCCCTCTATTAGCGCTCTCTCTGACTTACCTTTGGCTGCCATACATGTGGGATAAATATAAGACAATTATATACATAAGAATAATTATAATTATGTATGGAGAGAGAGAGACATAACGAGGGTCTGGCCGCTCGTTATAGTGTGTAATATATAGTATTACATAGTATTAATATGTTGACGCGTACTAATTAATATTAATACATATTAATTAATCCGCCGTCTTTTTCATCATTATTAATATCAATTTTTTTTTTCTCTCATATCTTGAAACGCGATACGGGTGAATAGGACGCTCGTTTTTGAGCAAGCTAAAGCCACGCCGGAGACGCGAAAAAATTGTTTTTTCACACGATCGGACGCTCAGGAATTCATCTGAGTTTCGTTTTCGGTCGCGTAAGCGTAATCAGAGTCTTTGCGTCTGAAACTGGGTGCGTCTCTTTTTCCGTTCCCACATTTCATGATTAGTTGACGGAATAGCATTGGCAACGTGATCCTTTGCTTACAAATATTTGAAAGTCGAAACGCGGCTTAGGAAAATTCCCTTGATTTATGAACGATCGTTTAAAATTTTGACGTGCGCGTTTGCGAGATATTTTATTTCTTTTTATTCCGTTGTAATAGGGACTGACACTTGGCATTATCCCGTACCATTCAGTTATTAAAATTTCCCATAATTATTTTTATTTTTACTTTTACTACTAAAAGCATTTACTAATTAAAGAATAATATTTTATTAGGAATAATATTTTATTAATATAATTAATTTATTGATTGATAGAACAATACCAATTAATTATTGAAATAAAACATGTATATATAATAAATTGTAACTGATTGACGATAATAATTGGTATATTATTGGTAATTATTATTCGAATAAATTATTAATTGTTAATTATAATTAATTAATAATTACAATTGGTATTTTGTTGATAATGATTGTTTGAATAAATTATTATCATTGTATTATCGACTTTACTCATTTATTATTAAAAAAAAAAAAAAAAAACAAAAAAAAAATGAAGAAAAAGAAGAAAAAAAAAAGGAAGAAAAAATATAAGGCCTAGGACCATAACGAAATGGAGTCGGCGACTCTCCAGTTATTGACTAGTATGTCGGCAAGTTTTACCCTACAGAATATAATACAAGGGATTACGGAGTTCGATGGAAAAAATGTGCCGCTCAAGGACTTTATCCAAGATATCCGCAATGGAAGAGCGTTGATTACAGATCCACAGGAACAGAATTTTGTCCGCTTACTAATTGCTAAACTACGAGGACCCGCACGTGACTGCATTTATGGAAAATCCATTAAGGCAGTTGATGACTTAATCAGGATCTTAAAGGAACGATTCGCACCTTGCAAAGACTTCGCTTACTACGACTCCAAAATCCATAGCCTGCGTATGAAACAAGGGGACACTGTTGGGGACTTTCATGACAGGATAAACATCCTTTTGAACTATACACAGAACGCGCTGAAAGAAGAGCTCGGAGAAGAGTACACTGAGGCGATGATGACTCCAATGCGCAACTCAACTATTAAGACCTTCATAGATGGATTGCCAAAAGAAATTGGAGACTTAGTGGACATTAAACAGCCTAAAACCTTGGAGGATGCTTATAAAGAAGCATTGCGTATATAAACAAGAAATAAGTCAAGGGCGAGGCATGGGGAGTGGAACCCTAATAAATGGACGAATTTATTGCGCAGCCTCAATGTTAACTTCGTTCAAGATCAACAAAACGACCAAGAGGAACAATTAGAGGATGAGTGGGATGAGTTACCCGCAGAAATCCAACAATTATTTGTTCAAAGAAATCAAGGACAGCAATCGTATATGAATAATCAAGGACAGCAACAGAGTCGATCTCAAGGGCAGAAACCAAGCCAAAATACGAATTGGAAGCCTCGTTACAAAAATTATCAGGACAGTGGACCACACGCAGGACGGCTATATAACCCAGATACAGACTCTTATCATCATCCGTCTGGAAAACGCTATGGAATGATAGCTTACGACCAGCAGCAAAGAGGCGAGCTTAGACCTAATCCAAAGTACCAGCAACATAATTATGCTAGTAATTTAAACTCAGATGGGGCTCGCCCAGCAGCGAATGGAACGGGCCCCTGTCAGACGTGCCGCCAGAATCAAGAAAAAGTTCAACCGAATGCGAAGACGATGTTGACTGAAATTCAGGAAGTATCGACGTCCGAAAAACCGGGACTACCCCCACCAAAAGTAATGACAATACTAAAGAATCCACAATCGTTAACGAACCAGTCATCGCAGTTTCCTCAAATTGGGGACTTGGCACAGGAAATAATCAGATCTATGCGCCAACAAGAGTAAGGTTTCGTATACCAGAGACCAGTAAAAGTAGACCGTGTTCATGGTTGATAATGGATCATTCGACTGTGTCAGGAGAAATATATTAACAAAATACTGAAAAGATTTGACTTCGACAACTCAAAACCAAAGGACACGCCTATGGTCACTACACAAGCCTCAAATCGTAAAAGAAAGGTGAAAGAGACTGAAGCCTGCGAGAGCATGATCGACAAAACTGAGACTCCTGAAAATGCTCCGTACAGAGAGATTGTGGGTAGCTTGCTTTACCTGGCGGGTGCGACAAGGCCAGACATATCATATTCAGTGAATATATTAAGCAGACACCAAATCGAACCAAAGGTGAGCGACTTGGCTATGGCGAAACGAGTCCTACGTTACTTAAAAGGCACTAAAAGTCTGGCTCTAGTATATAAAGGTGAGTCTGAAGGTGTGGAAGGATACGCAGATGCGAGTTTTGCAGACTGCAAGGACTCTCTCACTACTTGTGGTTTCCTTGTAAAACTGTTTGGAGATAATATTCATTGGCGAACTCAAAAACAAACTTATGTCTCTCTCGGTACTCGAGAAGCTGAGTACGTGGCAATGTGCGAGGCTACTAAAGAATTGTTGGCAACATATAATACATTGAGAATGATAGTTAGCAACCCAGGTGTGTTTTTACCTATGAAATTGTGGTGTGATAATCAGCCAGCTATAGCGACGGCAGAGACGGAAGGTGGGAATAAACTAAGGCACATGATAGAAATTAAAGAGCATTTTGTTAAACAATGGATAGATATGAAGCATATTGTACTTGGTTGGGTCAGCTCTAAGGATCAGTTGGCTGATGTATTTACGAAACCGCTAGCTCGCGAACTACATATAAGTTTGGTGCGAAAAATCATGAACACAAATTGAATTTGTCTTATCTTTAATTGTTTATTTGTTTCAGGCAATATGCGCTAATTTGAAAGGTGAGATTGATAACTAAGGTGCGATAATCAAGGTGTGAAGCTGATCATGATGAAGGCGATCGGGAGGGAGTGTTAGAATTATATGTGCGCTTGCCTCCATACACACTCTGCTTCCCACCTCTACAGCGCTACCGTCGCAGCTAGTCGGCCAGCAGCGCTACCTTAACGGCAATATGCTGTCGCCTGCGATACAGTTCGGTCGCGTTGTCACTTCCCACAGCATTTCTTTGTTACAATAAAGTTCCCTTTATACTTTTCTACACTTGGCATAGTTATTTACACTCACCTGTCCTTGCGATACTCTAAAAATTATTCTACAGGGTGTCCCATTTGAAAGGAACCACCCCAAAATTTTCTACGGTTGGCATTCTAAAAATAAATATTCAGACAAAAGATGTTTGGAACAATAATATTCCTTTCCCACAAATCGGATTTGACCTTGAGATTCATTTTCAAGGTCATTTGAAGGTCAAAGTCATTTTTTGAATAGGAACCTATAATTTTGATCCCGGATTCGGAAAGAGCGAGAAATTCTACGTTCAGATAAGGTATAATGAATAAATACAATAGTTATTTCAAATGAAATTATAATCAAAGCTCATGGAATCGCCAGGCTACCGAACAGGTTAATGAGGTATCAGCAAGAGATTGAAGAACGCCATTCGACCAGCATCGGCAAACGTCTCCATAAATAATCCAATCTATAAAAATGTAATTGAGGATCAGTAAAAATATATATACAGTATTTAGAAGAACCGAGTTAATTAAAACGACTGTGATTTACTGAATTGATTTATATGTATACCGATCACGATTCAATCCATGTGTAACAGCAACAGCAATAGTGTCGAAGATGTTTATATCGACGAGTGTATCAGGTATACGAAGAGTCTCATCTTTGACAAGTGAGGATTGAATTATAGTATTACTAAATGAATATTTATGTTCTGCAAGTTTCTGGTCAGCTCCAATGTTAAAATGCCACTTATTATGAAGAAGTTTTACACCTAAGTAAACAAAAAATTAAATAAAAAGTATTATTTTTTCAAACAATAATATTACCATAGTATATTAGTCAATTAGTGCGAGGAAGTAACTTCTTGTCTCGTATGAGTTTTATGCCCGAGCAAGGCAAAGCGATGGCGGAAAGATACATAAGATGAGAATCTCTCCTGAACGTGTTAGATACGATATTTTTGAAAACAACGTGCGGAAAGCGCGAATTTGAGCGCACGGTTTTCACCAAACGTGCGGCAACTTTCGTATTTTCTTTAAGTTGAGTCGAACTTTCCGCACGGCATAATCAAAAGAGAATATCACCTGTAATTTGCGCATAATACACATAATTTGTCTTCCACGTAGAAATAATTTTCATAGACGGAATACGATTATTTGGTAAATGTATTTGAAAACTTATAAAACTGAGGAGATTGTCATTTTCACTTATAGCCAATAAGTATTCGTTATCACTAACAATTGCCGTATCAAAACTATTAATTTCTAATTGGTATAAACGAAGTTTCATTTCATCATTAACGGATAATTTTTTTATATCAGTTTCTTTATTAGTAAAAGAAAAATGCCAAGTTTAAAAATCTACCAGATGCCATGGTCATTCCAAATATTTAGATATAAGTCCTAAAACAATATTCATACATTTAAGAAATATTATAAGATATTACTTCTGCAAATCATGCTTACCTTACGCATCCATCCGAACAAGCAACAAAAAGAAATACATCTTGACTATTATTAGAAATTTTGAAAATGCTTAAATTGCAAATCTTAATTTTCCATCACGCCCACTGGTCAGTAAATTGCTATTAAATATAATACATGACTGTACATCCAGTCTACAATGAATCCTTTTGAAAGATTGAATTAGGTTGACAAAGTCGATTTGCAATCTGTACATATATATACTACCCCTTCTGTCTCCACATATAATATTATTTTCATTCGGACAAGCTGTTGCAACCATCGTTCTCGACTAGCAAGCACATTGTGTTGTAATAAAATTTGAAAACCTTAAACATAAAATTTAACATATCAATATGGAAATATTCATTATATCATTGTTACTTCGTTACTTATTAAATGTTAATAAATTTTACCTTGAGTAGAAAATTGAACCACACTGATGAAAGCAACAATTCAAAAGTAATATTGAAATGCTTTTAAACGTACTTTTGTGAAGCGATATTTCAACTTTGAATGAAGCTAAAGCAATCAACTGTCTATCTGGAGACATTTGTATAATCTGTAGCTTGAATTATGTATAGGTAGATTAGAAGCACCAACCAACAAGTTTTTATCTTCTAAACCACGGAGTCAGTTACTAGAACTTCTCATAATTAACAAGCACCTCCTGTGTAAATAATATTTTATTGTGACACATCTATACACCAAACTGGTGCACCACATAAGCTTTCCATTTATCCGATATTTTGCCAGACAAATCTCAAAAGCATATTCAGGAGTCCTTAATTTTTTAAATAAAAAGACATTTAACAACTGTGATGATACAAGCTAATCAATATAAATTTGATATATAATACAAGAATATTGTTTCACTTTCAACTACTGCATGTAATAGATTCAAGGACTGAATTTGCAATAAAAGATCTCGATTGACAACTACTTTTTCTATTAAACAATCCACCTTGAATATTTAACTCCCATTTTGTAATTGTATTTTGGAAGTTTAGTTTAAGAAGCAAACATTCATCCTGTGTTAAGTTTTGCTATAAAGATTTGATGAAAAGTACCTGATAAATGTGTGTTTCAGTGGTAACATCTATTGGTTCTCCTTTAGCTGAGATAAACACATGCATGTTATCTTGATGTCATCTACAGAAGAGTCCAAAACTAAGCCAAAATATTTTTTAAAGACTCATCGTCTGACCCTCCTTGTCCTTGCAACTGTTATGAAGTGTACTGAGTACATGATGAAATGTCAACTCCATCTGAAATTTATTTATTGTGTATTATTATGGCAATATTCTCTTTGTTAACCTCCACTTGGAATGTTACCACATTGCAAGCAGAGGTTAAGACAAAAGCTGCATTTCATATCAGATGTACAAGCCAGAACAACTTAAATTCATGAAATAAAATTCATAATTCAACTAAGCCAGCAAACAAAATTGATCGAACAGTATACAAATATATTTGTTTACTTTAGAACTGAGAACTTCAATTCAGCCATACTAAGACACAATTATAATTCAACTAAGCTTTGAAACAAAACTAATTCTACAGCGTACAGGTATATTTATTTACTTGAACATGAAAGAGCTATTATCATGCTATAGTAAATAAATGTTCAAATTGAATCTTGATATATTATTTACTCAATTGAAAAACGTTCCAGTGTCCACCGCCGAAGCTGATGGACATTGGACGAAAGGCACACTCCGACTGAACTCGTGAACTCAACAACAATCAGTGATGAGAATCCGATGATGCTATAAAAAATTTCATTTTCACGAAGTCGTATCACATCTATATCGTTTATACAGCTATGACCAAGATTTACAGCCGGCATTCCCATAGCATCTTGGTCATAGCTATATAAACGATATAGATGTGATACGACTTCGTGAAAATGAAATATTTTGTAGCGTTATCGAATTCTCATCACTGACAACAATGCTTCAGTTGAATTTAGTTTACTTCGGTTTACTAGATGGCATTGAGTCTCCGACTGAGCAACAATGTTTCATTCGAGGTGCATGCGCGAAACAATGTCATAATAACCTTTTTAAATACGTAAGAGTATTATTTTATTTTAATTAATTAAATGATAAACTTTTTATTAATTTTATTTTGGATGCCAATAATGCGTGAGACGCACTAACAATTGGTATATTGTAAAAAATTATTTTCATGATATAAACCACTATATTTGGAGAATCAAATGGGGCCTAGCCGGATAAGATGGTCGAAACTGCCCCCAACGGTTAAGCCAAGCGGAATATGGCATCTTGTAGAGCTTGATTAGAAACTCTTCTGACCAAATTTTCAGACCCTTAGGTGGCCAGGGGCACCCTTTAGGTCCAAAAAAGGATCAAACCGTTTTTTTGAGATAACTCGGCTTCTATAATAGCTAACGGAACCAGCCGAACGGCGAAAAATTTGTCTTAGAAAGATCTATATACTAGAATTTTTCCAGATTTTTTGGCGCCAAATTCAAATTTTTAGAACGGTTTCTAATTTTTAAAAATTGAAAAAAAAAAAAAAATAACTCCGAGCTTGAAAAAATTTATTTTGTTTATTTTATATTCCTCTATATACTCAAATTTTTTCAGATTTTTTCAAGTGGTGGAACATCGATAAAAAAATTAATAATCATTTTTCGATCATTTTTCCTACGTTTCCGACGTTTCACTCAATTCCATCGATCGAAAATCATTCATTTTTCTATATTTTGTCAATTCTATAGTTACTGCGGTTATATATGATGTCTTTATACCATCTAAATGTAGACTGAAATTGAGTTACTGAATGTAGGTCCTTATTTTGGAGTCTTTGTCTTGAAAACGCGTAGAGATTATTTTTTGCAAATAATTGTATTTCTGATATCAATGAGGCATTTTGCCATGTGATGTCTCCGGGTAAGATGGCGAATACCTGGGGACAAAAATGTACAGGATTCATATGGGAGTCGGATATACTATCTGGTTCAGTATTTTTTCTGTCTTGGGATGCCGAAATTAGCGGGTTATCGATCGAGCATTTCGGCCCGCAAGACATAAAATGTCTTATGGAGCTGGAGATTCCTTCAAGTTGAGCTGCTGCATCTATTGAATGTGAAGTATTTACTAGTATCGTTATTTTATACTGCAACGGTAGTCGATTCAATTAATCGAACCGTTCGCGATTCTGATTTTCGCGCATTAGTTCTAAGTATTGAGAGAGAGAGGGGGCGCGCGATCTTTTGAATTAGCAGTTACATCTCAGCTGTTACGTGTGTAGTACCGCCAAAATAGTTTAGCACAGTGTTTCACCGATTTGCCAATAAAAAAGTTTATTTGGATTTTGGATACTTGTGCAAGGGTGAGCGAGGAAGCAGCAACAGTAGCAGCATCACGGAAGCAGCAGCATAAGCAACAGCTATTATACAGCAGATTTGCGATCGAGGCAGCACAGCTGATTCGGATCGGAGGAGCATCTTTAATTTGCTTCAACAATTACGGCTGATCACCGTAATTGCACCGCAGGGTAGGTGCACCTCCCTTAATTATCGCGTGACAAAATACATTTGATATTTTGTCGAACGGTGTTAGCGTTAAATTTTTTGTATTCGCGTCGAGCGTTAGATCGCGCCAATATTCGTATCTTCTCTCTCTCTCTTTCTCACCGAAAGTTATTTAATTGTAAATCCTCTTCGTGTGCGTCAGTCTTTCGGCCCGACAAAGACTGTAGAGATTTTTATTAATAAAATCTATTAAACTTATTCGCCGATTTCGTTATATAATTTTTTCCTAGTAGTTTAAACAATTGGAAAAAGCTTAGGTTTTAATCCTATTATAGCTAGGGGATTAAGTGGATTAGGAGTAAAGTCGATTACACTTAAAACTCATCGTGTGTCACAAGGCACGTGACTTAAGGTGAGTTCAACTCCGCTTGATCGAAGACAACTAAGTTAAGTCAGCTGACGTTAAGGCGAATACACGTATTAACATACGTGTTAACGGAGCGGCGGTTTGCTCTGCGTCGTGGGAGTTTTCTCTTAAATAAATTTCTCATTTTTGCAGAATTACCCCCCCGTTACATGGCGCCCAACTGGTATTAAGACCCGTGTCGTGCGAATAGGATTGTGCGTCGAAGGTAATCGACGCACGAGAGAGAGAGACGATTGCGTGAGCGCTTAGGA